ATTAGATGTAGATAAATGTAATTCATCTTCATATAAATATCGTGCAGTTGCTGCTGAATGACCCATATTAAATAACTCAATATAATGTTTTTGAACATTAAGTCCAACTGGTCGAAAACTCAACGAACTTGCAGAATTGGGCACATAATTATGTATAAACCGAAGGTTTATTTCAAATAGGTAAGTATCCTCAAAACCAAATTTTTTAGGTTTTTTCATTTGAAGGTTTAGAGTTGCCTTACATCCAGTATCCCTGTTTTGCAAACCATTTAGATTTTTTGTTTCACAATGATTATTTTTTTGTTTGACTAAATTGCTATGGATGCAATATCGCAACTCTCTAAAAATAACTTTATCTTCTTTAACTAGATAAGTGCATGTTAAACGTATTGTAGTTTTTGAACATTCTTGAAATTCATTAAGCCATATTAAAGCATCTTCTTTTGTATTAATATTTGTGAGCAAATCAACAATGATCTGCTCGATTTTCACATTTTCTACAGTAATTATTGGCATCAATTCGTTGTAGTTTACAAGTTGATATTCATAATCTAATGGAAGTATTTGTCGAAGCGAAATAGGTAAAGTTTTTCTTTTACTTGAGTAATTTTGCATCGTTATGACAAATACTTTTTTTTTTTTTTTATGATTTTATTTTTATTTAATTACATATCATAAAAGCTTATTACAAATTATTATTTCGATTTGTATTACAATTAGAATCGGGGTATCGATTATTATTAGCCACAATAATGTACTAATCTGGTACACATTATCTAAGTGCTCGATTATTATCAGCCACAATAACATACTAACCTGGTATACATTATCTGAGTGCAATATTTTTTAATAATTAGGCCCTTATAAGTAATTATTATTTTTGATTTGGGCTCGTATTTGTAATTATTTTCACTTTCTGGGCCTTTATTTGTAAATTCTCCATAAAATTATTCTATATGCAAAATATATGCAAATGACCTGAATGACTCTAATGATCCAAATGATCTGGTCATTATTTAATATCTTTGTATCGAATAGGGTTTAGTTAATTGATTATTAGATAGTATTATTTAGTAATATAATTGTGAAAGAGCTGCTTTTATTATTTTTGGGATACGTATTTGGTGAGAAATTAATTAAACGATTATTTAGACAATTTTATAAGGTTTTGATTCGCCATGATAAACCTTTTGATCAGAGTATAAACAATTAGTAAATAAAATGATGATTCTTGGTAATAAATAAATATTTATTTATTTAGAAAAGATCGTTAAATTCTTTCGCTATAATCTTTATTAAAAAACAAAAAAAACAAAAAAATAATAAATAATTATTAATTCATCTGCCCGATAAAAGATCTGATACAAAAAAAAAAGACAAAAAGCTTAGAAAATAGAAAATAAATATAAGATTCTTATTATTTTAAGAGGTTCTTTGGTATTTTTTTTTAAATCAAATTTTTTGGTATTTTGAGATATAGTATCCCTGGTGATAAATAATATTTTTTGAGATATAGTATCCCCAGCGATAAATAATATTTATTTTTATTTAGAAAGAATCATCAAATCCTTTCACTATAATCTTTAATTAAATAAAAAAAGAAAGTGATTATCAATTTATCTGTCCTGTAAAAGATCCGATAAAAAAAAAAAAAAAGAGGCAAAAAGTTTAGAAAATAGTAAATAAACATAGGACGGAGAACTCATAAAGCTAAGATTTTTAATATTTTAAGAGGTTCTTTGATATATTTTTTTAAATCAAATTTTTTGGTAATGTACTATTTACCATTACCATTACTATTACCAATACTATTTTACCTTTACGATTTAACTAAATCAAATCGAAAATAGATTTAAATAGATTCAAATAGATTTACCATTATTAAAAAATGCGAGAACTTTTGTTCTTAATTTGCTTAGTAGATCCTACCAAAAAAGAGTATATATGGCAAATGTTATGATGATCTTTAAACAGGAACTTTATGGGGAATCTACTTTGCAAGTACTATTTATAAAAGTTGTAATACTATTTACAAGAGTACAAAGTATTCCCAAGTAGGAAGAAAACAAGGATCAAAATTAGAACTATGTTAATAAATAGATTAATAAATCAAAAGTTATTCAAGATTTAAAAAATATTAATTATAAGTATAATTTTAATATCATGATAACAAAATTTTGCAAAAAATAAGCTTTTACTTAAACTATATACTATAATAAATTTGTACAATCTAGTTAATTAATATTAATTATTATTATTATTGTTTTTTAACTTAGATGATTATGCTAGTGATTGTATTTATTAAAGCTATAGTTTTATAGAAAATTTATAAATCTATTACTCTTAGATAATAGATTACAATAATAAGTTATCATCTTAA